TTCTTAAAGCCTTGTCTCGCAGCAAGTTGTGTTTTCAAGAAAATCAATGATTTTCCTAAGAGAAAAGGCGATAAGATTAAAAGTAATCACTTGTTTTATTCGTCCATGAAAGTGGAATATTCGCATACAATTTCAGAGCTGTACTAATATTTGTTAACAAGTTACGATCGAATATAAAATCAACAATAAATTGAACAAAAAATGCGTTTTATGACAAAGCAAAATTAAAAACGATGTTTTTTAGTCATCTCTGTACACATCATGAAGTAATCAGATGAAAAGTACTTAGAATACTGTTGCAAGCAGAAAAAAAGCGAAAGAAAAAGAAATGCGGCCTTGAAATAGCTCTCTGGAGCTAGCGTGATGTAATTAATATATTGTAAAACTCGCTTTCATTTTGTTCTGTCTCTAACATATACAAAGGAAATCAAAATAATGATTAATAAAAATGTATATCCCGCTACTGAGAATTGGTCTAGTGATGGCCGAAGTCTTCACGGACTGGCATAGTGTCGGACTGTTGATGACTCATGAAGTTCCCAATGTATTACCGTAGTCAAACATCTAAATGATACATAAACTATATGAGCCTGTAAGGAATTGAAAAAATATTTTTTTTTAGAAGCACGACCAGCTGAACCGACCAACCCTTGTCAACCTTCCCCATGTGGCCCGAACGCGCAATGCAAAGAAACCAACGGATCACCCTCATGCTCATGTTTGCCAGAATTCATAGGCTCACCTCCAAACTGTAGACCAGAATGCGTTAGCAACGGAGAATGTCCGAGCCACCAGGCGTGTATCAACAACAAATGCAAAGACCCATGTCCAGGAACCTGTGGTCAAAACTCGGAATGTAGAGTGATAAACCACGTGCCCAACTGCGTATGTTTACCTGGATATACAGGAGATCCTTTCACATTGTGCAACCTTGTGCCAGTTCAAGCCGTAGTCGAAAAAATATCACCATGTCAACCATCACCATGTGGCGCTAATGCTCAATGTAGGGAACAAAATGGAGCAGGTGCCTGTACTTGTTTCCCAGATTACATTGGAAATCCCTATGAAGGGTGCAGACCTGAGTGTACTTTGAACTCAGACTGTCCGGCGAATAAGGCTTGTGTTAACAATAAATGTAAGGATCCTTGTCCTGGAACTTGTGGGCAAAACGCTGTATGCCAAGTAATCAATCATCTACCTTCATGCAGTTGCGTTCCTGGATATACTGGAGATCCTTTCAGATACTGCAATATAATTCCACCACAAAAACGTAAGTATTCATTCATGTTTTCTTGCTTCGCTAAAGTCAGATTGAATGATTTCTCCTTCTTTCTCTCTTTGGAAATACTCCGATGTTTCACTGTTTTTTTCAATGTCACATGTCTTTTACGCATTTCTTCACATATCTTTGCTTTGCTAGTGTTCATTTGATCAAGTATCTATATCTTATTTCCAGCTGACGAAATAGTACCTAAAAATCCATGTCAACCCTCACCATGTGGACCAAACAGTCAATGCAAAGAAGTGAACGGTCAAGCGGTATGTTCTTGTCTTCCAAATTACATTGGAAGTCCGCCAGGTTGTAGACCTGAGTGTACAGTCAGTTCCGAATGTGCCCAAGACAAAGCTTGTATCAATCAGAAATGTACAGATCCTTGCCCAGGTAGCTGTGGCCTAAACGCCAACTGTCAAGTGGTCAACCACAGTCCAATTTGTACATGCAGGAATGGATATTCAGGAGATCCTTTCACCAGATGCCTTCCCATACCACGTAAGTTCCTAGATACGTCGCTTTTTCAAAAATTGCAAAATTACAGAGTCTCGTTAACATTAAAAGGCGACTTCAGTCCTTAAGGATGATAGAAGATTCGAAAAATATGCAAACGTCGATTACTGTGTACCTAGACAAATGTCTGTTATGACCTAAAGTCATATATCTTCAAATCGCCCATACTGGTCACTTCCTGGGTGCACAGTATTTGCTTTCTCTTATTTTGACATTCTTTCAGCTCCTTCACCTGTCCAAGTCATCGAAACCATCAGAGATCCATGTGTACCATCTCCGTGTGGTCCAAATGCTCAATGTACCAATCTTGGTGGAACCCATTCCTGCTCTTGTTTGTCGAATTACATTGGAAGTCCTCCAAATTGTAGACCAGAGTGTACCATCAACTCTGAATGTTCAAGTAACTTGGCTTGTATTAGAGAAAAGTGCAGAGACCCATGTCCAGGATCATGTGGTGCTGGAGCACAATGCAATGTAATAAACCACACGCCAATATGTAGTTGTCCTGAAGGGTATACTGGTGATCCGTTCAGTTTCTGCCGTCTGAAGCCACTAGCTCGTAAGTAATGTTTTTCGATATATTTATTAGTTACAGCAGAAACACAATAAAGTGCAGATCTTCGAACCTAAGACTGAGTAAATGCCTAATACCCCAGCGTCTAACCAAAGAGAACCATGACTGCAACTTCGAACAGTATTCCAGAAAAACATGTTTGCTATAGTTTTCCAAAATACGACTACCAAAAAGGACATATGGAAGGTTCTTGAACATTGAATGCGTGTATGAAGTCGCAGCTAAAAGTAAAAAGTATTTTAGAAGCTCAAATCGATTTGAAATGATAGATGTTACACTTTAGTGTAACATTTGAAACTGAACATGTGGTTTTAATCTCGCATATTTCGATGGCCAATCAAAAACGTGTGTTAAAAAAATCTTTATTGTAAACATTTCGGTCACAATGCTTACCTTCTTCAGTACAATGACTTTGACAATATACAGGGTGTCCGCAAAGTTGGGGTTTTCCTTTACACGACGTGTAGAACTTGAAAACATAGGCAATTTTTCTTAGTACCATATACACCAATGTCTTAAGGGAACCGAGATAAAGGGCTCTGCAACATCAAAAATATCTGAATGCCGTCCTGTAGCCGCGACCCGCCGCGATATCCCCGACCGGTACAAGGTCTCAACCCGACGGCAGAACTGGGTCGGGGTCAGTGTGTCAGGTTAGTATGCAACCTTCAACCGACGGTTACGGTCACGCATGTAGAGGTAATCGCGTAGACGAGAATCGCTCAACAAGCACTAGAGACGTGGCTAGAGAAGTGCAAGTATCAAAAACTAGTGTGGCAAACGCTGCGTGAAGAAAGGCTGTATCCGTTTCACGTCCAACGTGTACAAGCCCTTCAACCGGATTTTCCAGCAAGAGTGCGGTTTTGTGAGTGGTTATTGCATCAACGTGACAATAATCCGGACTTTTTGAAGTGCATATTGGTGACAGACGAATCTACGTTCACGCGTAATGGGGTGAATAACTTTCGCAACACTCATGTTTGGTCAGTAGAAAATCCGCACGCTGTCCGTCGGGCACATTTTCAACAAACATTTTCGGTGAATGTTGGGGCTGGCATGGTGAACGATATGCTCATTGGACCATTTATTGTCCCAAATCGATTGGACGGGATGCAATACCTAGACTTTTCACGCAACATTTTGCCTTCCTTGTTAGAAGATGTGCCATTAAGTGTAAGACAATCAATGTGGTTTCTGCGTCTGCTCGGTAGCGCTTCAGCTGATTTCATTTTCTGTTGGAGCGGTATGATTTCGGGCAGAGACGTACTTTGCCCTTCTCGTCAACTGGAGAGTGAGTACTTTTTCCTTTACTTTTTTTTTACTTGGTCGCCCTCGTTTCACTACACATTACCTTTGTTATTTCAAGGGTAGTTATTTCTTAAAAGGAAAACCCCAACTTTGCGGACACCCTGTAATTTATTTATCTGTCTTTTAGGTGACACTTTTTATTTCCTTATTCATATACAGTATGGTATTGCAATAGTGTTAAAGGTCCCCGTAGCATCTGAGATAACACAAAGCGATCATTTCAAATTTTAAGATGGCACCACGCAAATCCAGCATAGCCCAGGACCACGTAGGGGTAGGCATTCCTGCCCCCGGCGTCTTCAGGAAGGACAACATATAAATAACCCGTCGGGCATAGTTAATAGATATACTTCATTGGCAACATATTCAGTAAATATCACTGATTTTATACACATGCACATAATCATCCAAATGCGATCTTGCTATTTAACCAATTTTCTTCTCAGAGATGAAAGCCACAGACTACTCGGCTTCACAAAACATATGCAACCAACAATGCGTGTCGTTTAGTTGAGTCATTCCTCCATAGATGGACGCTCACAACGATCCTAGTGAGCAAACGTGGAATGACTGTTTGCACCCTAGTCTGCAAGATGACTTTTTTTGACGTTTTATAGGTGTTTTACATAAATACCAATTCGAACCTCTCGGTGTATAGTATCACACTGTATAGGAATATGAAAAAACAAACAAAGTGTCACCTGGAAGACTGATAAATAAAATATATTGTGGAAGTCATTGCAATGAAGAAGGTCACCTCTGTAACCAAAACGATTACAAGAAGATGTTTTCAACACATGTGGCTTCGATTGGCCAGAGTTTTTTTCCTTTCTGAGAGCCGTCTGACCCGATGGCACTGCAGCCTCTAGGGCTTATTGTACCTTTAAAACTCCTAGGCATACTACCTTTGTTTGGGTCATTATATGCAGCACTACCTGTAAAATTGGTAAATCCTTGATTTAAATGATCTCAAACTCAAAAGAGTTTACCTTTCAACCTTTATCTTACATATTCAGTGGCTCGCCGTATTCACAATATTAAAATGGAAAACATCGGCACATTTATTAATGTCTGAAATGGTGGAAATATTTTGTAAAGTGGAAAACACAAAATAACAATCCAATTATTTTTTTTCTTGTTTCAGTACCAGAACCTGTAGAGACTGACCCCTGCAATCCTTCACCATGTGGTGCAAACGCCCAATGCAACGATGGAACATGCACATGCCTACCCGAGTACATCGGTGACCCGTACAGAGGCTGTAGACCAGAATGCGTGCTCAATAACGAGTGTCCTAGAAATAAAGCTTGCCTGAGGAATAAATGCCAAGACCCTTGCCCCGGCACTTGTGGTCAAAACGCAGAATGCTCTGTTGTCAACCACATACCGATGTGCACTTGTTTGCCAGGATACAGTGGCAATGCTTTCGTTTTATGTAACAGAGTTCAACCACTTGCTGTGGTAAACCCATGTCATCCATCTCCATGCGGTCCAAACAGTCAATGTAGAGAAGTCAACGGTCAAGCAGTTTGTTCCTGCGTAGTAGGGTATTTAGGCAGTCCTCCGAATTGCAGACCAGAATGTGTTACTAGTGCAGAATGTGCTTTGGATAGAGCTTGTGTCAACCAGAAATGTATAGATCCTTGTCCAGGAACTTGTGGGTTCAGCGCCAAATGTCAAGTGGTGAACCACAATCCGATTTGCAGCTGCCCGCCGAGGTTCACTGGTGATCCGTTTACCAGATGTTATCCAATACGTAAGTTCAATTATATTTTATGCAGAACTAGCCAGAAGTCAGTACAACACCGAAAGATAAAATTGTACTATAGGAAACTGGTCGTTAATCTAACGTACTTTCTGGCCATTAAATCAAACCGCATATACTTGAGATACTTTTTAATGGGAACCACCGTTTGATCCGATCTTATGCTTTGTGGATATTTTTGAGAGTCGTGGTTGTTAGCCAGTTTTTGTGACGTACACAGAAGTACGATATCGTTATAGGCACTGACATATTTCAAAAATTTTTAACCGCTTTCTTGAATTATCATTTTTATATTTACCAGAGGTTCGAGTTTTGTGTTAAGATTAAGCACATCTATCTTGAACCCCTTACTTTTTTTTTAATTTCCCTTACCGGATAAATTATCAAAGTATATAGTTATTCTTTGACATTAAAATACGAAATCGTCAACAAAACATCTTTGTTTCAGCGTTGGAAGAACCTCCAAAAATAAACCCATGCAACCCCTCCCCATGTGGCGCCAATGCACAATGCAAGGAAATCAACGGATCGCCCTCATGCTCCTGCTTGCCAGAATTCATCGGATCTCCTCCAAACTGCCGACCAGAATGCGTCAGTAACAGCGAATGTCCAAGCCATTTAGCTTGCATCAACCAAAAATGCAAAGATCCATGTCCAGGAGTGTGTGGTCAGAATGCTGAATGCAAGGTTGTCAGCCATACGCCAAACTGTGTTTGTGTGCTGAACTATGTTGGAAATCCTTTCGTTCAGTGCCAACCACCACCAAGTAAGAATTTTCGATAACTGGACGACAAATGCCAAAGCAATGAATGAAGCTTCTATCTTGGACCAAAATCATAGTAGTCTGGTGGAGAATTAGACTTATTCGACACTTCAATAGTGACTTTGGAATAATTGGTTTTGATCTTTACCAAGATCATATCAAATAGTAGTTCATGCCAATCCAATTGCGATATAACCTGAGACAGAAATAATCTAGCCTTTAAGATATCAAAAATAGTTGATACTAGCGCCATAAACAGTAAATACTTATTCTTCTCAGTATGATTAAAAAAATACAAGACACAGAAAATGAATCAATTCCTGATAACATCGATTAAGGCCCGTGTCGTCAGTCGACCCTACAATTGTAGGGCGCGTTTATGGCCTCCTTGATTGTCATACTTCTTTCTCTCCTTCAAAAATTTCTAGATTACACATGTTCCGTGTCAAAGTCAGCGCTCTCCTATTGTGAAGATTTGTTTTCCTTTTAAATTGTAGGAAATTTCAGGCTAATAAAACATGATATAACTCAAAACCCAGCACAATTTGATGTAAATTGATGTTTGTGACATAACCTCAAAATAGAGCGCTGACACGGAGAAGTAGAAAACTATGACAATCAAGGAGGCCATAAAGGCGCCATGCAATTGTAGGGACGACTGACGATACGGGCCTAAATTAAGGTTTGCGCTGAGTTAGTTTACTACGTATTGGAAATGATGTAACATAAATTCCGGTTTTCCTATCCAAAGTCTAATTTATCACTATAACCCTAATTTCATAACACTTGTAACTAATTTATGAAAATTTATTACTATGTCGACTGGACTATCACGTTGACTCATTAATCGCTGTCCGTAGACTCGACTGTACTCCTTCTACTGTCGACGCTTTCGTAGATTTTGAATTCAACCAATCCAGAAGCTGTCCAGAATACTTCTCGAACGCTCCCGATGGTAACCAGACACTCTCGATCTAAAGATTGATGGCTTCACTGATCGTTATGATATTGTAGAAGATTAAGAATCATGTTTTCTAAAAAAAACTAAGATTGGTCGAAAAATCGAAAGTGGCACTTATATATTATAGAAAATTTTAACGTCAAAATCTTGGTGCAAGAGACTATTACAAATTCATTGTTAGAAAAAACTGTATGTAAACATAGTAACGGCATCATCTTGGGAAAGCAAGTGTTCTTGCTGTGTTTATTTTAGCCAGCATTCTTCAAGATGAAAAATCTAAATGTTTCAAACTTCGTCCTTCTGTATGTCAGGCTTCCACTTTACTAGATTCTTTTTGCCCGGAATATAGTGTATTTACCTAGCCATTTTGCTACTACTAGTTACTATGGTCACTTTAAATCATAATTTATTTTAGCACCAGTAATCGATGAACTGATATCTCCATGTGTGCCATCTCCATGTGGTGCAAACGCCGTTTGCAAAGAACAAAATCGAGCAGGCTCATGTACCTGCCTACCAGATTTCATAGGCAATCCATACGAAGGCTGCAGACCTGAATGTACTCTGAACTCAGATTGTCCTTCGAATAAGGCTTGCATTAGGAACAAATGCATGGATCCTTGTCCAGGAACTTGTGGCCAAAACGCAGAGTGTCACGTGATTAACCATCTGCCATCTTGCTCATGCTTGGTGGGTTACACCGGAGATCCATTCAGATATTGTCAAGTTGAGCCGCCGCAACGTAAGTAACAAGTTCATAAAATACTTTAAATAAAATATCAAAACATGAGCATCTTGGACTAGTTTCCATGAGCTTTGGGACAACAAATTGCAGATTCTTTTTTCTATGCCTGACTACTGATTTAAGAAGCAAAACATTAAACTCTATTCAAAACCGATTTTTGCAGATAATCCGAAAGAAATTAAAGGATTTTGCTATGACAAAATTAAACATAGTTTGTTGGACTCTATATAATCGATCGATTTTTTATTTTAGCTGTAAAAGTTGAGCCGCAGAACCCCTGTCAACCAAGCCCATGTGGACCAAACAGTCAATGTCGCGAAGTGAATAGCCAAGCAGTTTGTTCTTGTCTGCCATCATACATTGGTAGTCCACCGCAATGTAGACCAGAATGTACAGTCAGCGCAGAGTGTGCTCAGAACAAGGCTTGTGTCAGTCAGAAATGCGTTGATCCTTGTCCAGGATCTTGTGGCTTGAACGCAGACTGTCAAGTTGTGAACCATAGTCCTATTTGTAGCTGTAGGTCTAGCTACACTGGGGATCCTTTCTCGAGATGCTACAATATACCACGTAAGTCGAATTATGGTATCATAGTCACTGAACTACAAAGTTTATCTTGAATTTAGATGAATGACCACTGTATATTTTCAGCACCACCACCAATCAAAGAGGTCCAGGTGTACAAAAATCCATGCGTACCATCACCATGTGGCCCAAACAGCGAATGCAAAGACATTGGAGGATCACCTTCATGCTCCTGTATACCAAACTATCTTGGAGCTCCACCAACCTGTCGACCAGAATGCTCCATTAACTCAGAGTGCCCCAGCAACTTGGCTTGTATCAATCAGAAGTGTACAGATCCATGCCCTGGATCTTGCGGTACCAATGCTGTATGCAATGTCATCAACCACACGCCAACATGTTCATGTATAGAATCCTATATCGGAGATCCATTCACTTTCTGCCAACCAAAACCACCGGAACGTGTACCAGAGGTCAAGGATCCTTGTAACCCATCACCATGTGGATCAAATGCTCAATGCAACGATGGGGTATGCACGTGTCTGCCAGAGTACCATGGAGATCCATACAGAGGATGTAGGCCAGAATGTATTCTCAATAACGAGTGTCCACGTGATAAGGCGTGCATCAGAAACAAGTGCGAAGATCCATGTCCAGGCACTTGTGGACATAACGCCGAATGTTCTGTGATAAATCATGTTCCTACTTGTAGTTGTATTCAAGGGTATCAAGGCAACGCTTTTGTAGCATGCACAAAAATACCAGGTAAATCAACAGATTTCCATCATACAAGGAGTAAAACTGTAGGCCAGAAGATTCACTATTTTCAATTCATCTCACATTTGCTAGTAATATTCATTTTAAACAATTCTGGACCTACGTCAGTGTGATTAACCAAGTTCCCAACCTGCTAGTGCAATATAATAAACCATTCTATTGATACTTTTCAGCTCCTGTGATTATCCACCCGTGTAGTCCATCTCCCTGTGGACCAAACAGTCAATGTAGAGAAATAAATGGACAAGCAGTTTGCTCTTGCATCCCAGGTTTTATTGGTAGTCCACCAACATGTAGACCAGAGTGTGTTTCTAGTCCAGAGTGTCCATTGAATCAAGCTTGTATCAATCAGAAATGTATCGACCCATGCCCTGGAACTTGTGGAATAAATGCTAAATGTCAAGTGGTTAATCACAATCCAATCTGTAGTTGTCCATCGAAATATACTGGAGATCCATTCATCAGATGTACAATAGGTAAGATGCTAGTTATGTAGAGTATATAGACAGTAGGTTTTCCGAAATCAGACAAGCTTTTGAAAATGGAGGAGACGAAAATAGAATAAGATAAAATATCGATGAATAAGGCCACGTATTAGTAGTATGTAATCTGGAAAAGGTTTTGACTAAAATGACGACCACTAGAAGCTATATCGGAAGGCATGGATAAGAGGTCAAACCCCAAGCATGCAAATGCTCAGAAAAAGCAAATTAATTGGAACAAGTATAGCCCTCGATGAAAATATAGTCCAAACTCGAGATTCTTAATAATCTTTTATTTATTATGCTTTTGAAAAATAAATTGACATCTCGTGAGTATCTTCCATTCACGGAATTTTCGGTTCACTGACGCTTTAAATATGCCTCTTCACAAAGTTTTGTTATTTCATAAATCATCAACTGCTAAAATCTTGATAATTTCAAAAACCAAATTAAACAAATTACCTTTGATGGTCAAATCTAAATTAACTCTCAGTATATATATATATATATATATATATATATATCATGTGTATTTCCTCATACCTCTTCATATTATATACTAAGTGACATATAAATCCGAACACCCAGTTTAAATGGTTTTATTTTAATAAAAGTTGGTGAATGTATTTATCTTACTGTAAATAACAAGTGAAAAAATTTTCAGCCTTATCGGTTGGACATTCCGGTTTTTATACTGCTTTTTTTTAATTCACTAACGCTCTAAAAATGAATATTTCAGCCGCAGTAAAGAGTCAACGTTGGCGGATTTTGGTTCTTGAGATCCTTTACGATCGGTTACGATGTACTTAATGAAGCATAATAAGTAAATGATGAAAATTTCAAAATGATTGCACTGCTTTAAAGCCCTTTGACCTTTAATAATGTGTGGATGCACCCTGATGTGCTACGCATTCTCCAACGCGCCTAGGCATGCTTCTGATCAGGTGGTCAATGTCCTCCTGTGGTATCTCACTCCAGGCAACCACCAACTCCTCTCGAAGTGCTTCTAGAGTCTGAGGAGAACGTTGCAAATTGAGTAATCTCCTACCCATCATATCCCACACGTGCTCAATTGGGGATAAGTCGGGAGATCTTTTTGGCCATGGTAACAATGTGACATCATTATGTTGAAAGAAGTCTATTGCGACTCTTGCAACATGTAGTCGGGCATTATCTTGTTGGAAAGTTGGATCTGCCAGGGTGTCAAGATAGGGTAAAAGATGGGGTTCTAGAACTTCGTGGATATAACGCTGCGCGTTCATGTTACCTCTGATGAAGATTAAAGGTGATCTGGAACCGTAAGCTATAGCACCCCAAACCATAACTCCAACAGTGTGATGAACATGTCTTTCAACGTGCATTCCTCCTTTCACCACGTCGCCTTCTAACGCTGGCATGACCATGGTGCATGCCTAAACAAAATCGAGACTCATCACTAAAGACAATACTGTTCCATTCCTGATCCTAGAGTGACCGTTGTCTGCACCACTCAAGGCGATTACGTCGGTGTTCTCGAGTTAAAGGGAGGACCCAGTGTGGCCGGTATGAAAACAAGCCAAAACTTCTCATTCGTCGGTAAACACTTCGCATGCCAATAGGTCTTCCGTGTTCTGCAAACCATTCATTTGCAATGGACCTGGTAGTGGAGAAACGGTCCCTTAAGGCCAATAATCTTAGGCGGCGATCTTCACGGTCTGTTGTTCTACGGCGGCGTCCAGTGCCCCTTGCTCTTTGCGTACGGCCTTCTCGAAGCCATGCCTGACAACACCTAACCACAGTGTCTACACTTCTTTGCACTCTAACTGCAATTGCCCGAAAAGAAAGTCCAGCTTCCCGAAGTCCCACTATACGGCCCCTGTCAAACTCGCTAAGTTGACGAAATCGTACAGGTCTCCATACTCTAGGCATCGTAACCGATCGTAAAGGATCTCAAGAACCAAAATCCGCCAACGTTGATTCTTTACTGCGGCTGAAATATTCATTTTTAGAGCGTTAGTGAATTAAAAAAAAGCAGTATAAAAACCGGAATGTCCAACTGATAAGGCTGAAAATTTTTTCACTTGTTATTTACAGTAAGATAAATACATTCACCAACTTTTATTAAAATAAAACCATTTAAACTGGGTGTTCGGATTTATATGTCACTTAGTATATAAATCTTTTATAGTTTTTTGTACGCATAAGCGGTCGCTGTCTTTGATTTGTGATTTTCGTTAAAACTGTTTTCAATACTTTAGTGCTAGTTTTTTAATGATTAAGTGATGGAATAGGAAGTAGCTAAATTTCGTCCAATGTTTGACAAGGTTGCCTATTGATAGATTGGGATCCTCTTAGTACGAATATGACAGAAGTTTTAACAAGAAATCTGTACAGCTAGTAATGGGTGATTTTTTTGCTAGTATCTTTTTGGCAACACTGTTTTTGACAGATGACGCGTGAATCGTGTCTTGTGTCATTGTCAAACTTGTTCAGTTTGGTCTATAAGTTAACCATGAATCGACTTACGAACGGACAACGCTTGCAAATTATTGAATTTTACTATCAAAATTCATGCTCGGTTAAAAGAGTGCATCGAGCACTGCTTCCAATTTATGGGCAATTTGGTCGACCTACTGAGGGAGCTATCCGGAAGGTGTGACTAAATTTCAAACCCAGTTTACATTATTGGACATTAAACCACCAACACGCAGACGTAGAGTGAGGACTGAAGAAAATATTGCGGCTGTATCCGCCAGTGTTAGTGATGACCGTGAAATGTCGATTCGCCGCCGTTCGCAGCAATTGGGCCTCTGTTACTCCACTATGTGGAAAATTTTGCGACAGGATTTGGGTGTAAAACCTTATAAGATACAGCTGGTGCAAGAATTGAAGCCACATGGCCTCCCACAACGTATCCAATTTGGTGAATGGGCGCTGGCAAAGTTGGAGGAAGATCCACATTTTTATCGAAAAATGGTGTTCAGCGACGAAGCTCATTTCTGGTTGAATGGGTACGTTAACAAGCAAAATTGCCGCATCTGGAGTGATGACCAGCCAGAAGCATTGCAAGAGCAAAGAATCACTGTTTGGTGTGGATTATGGGCCGGTGGCATCATCGGGCCGTACTTCTTCAAAGACGACAATGGCCGGAACGTAACTGTGAATGGCGAGCGCTACCGTGCGATGATAACAAACTTTTTTTGTCCAAAATGGAAGAGCTGGACTTGGCTGACATGTGGTTTCAACAAGACGGTGCCACATGCCACACCGCACACGAAACAATGGCCCCATTGAGAGGCGAGTTCGGTGAACAATTTATCTCACGTTTGGGGCGCGTCAATTGGCCACTTCGATCGTGTGATTTAAAGCCGTTGGACTATCTCTTGTGGGGCCATGTTAAGGCAAATGTCTACAGGGATAAACCAGCAACGATTGACGCACTGAAAGCCAATATTGAAGCATTTATTCGTGAGATACCGGCCGATATGTTGGAGAGTGTGTGCCAAAATTGGACGTTGCGCATGGGCCATCTAAAGCGGAGTCGCGGCCACATTTACATGAAATAATCTTTAAACATTAAATTATATCGACCGTTCTATAGACTCAAATAAAGATTTAATCGTTTTGTCAAATTTTTTGTGTTTTTTTTGAAAATCAAATCCTATACCTCTTAAAAAATCTCCCGTTACAAGTTATATTATTATCAGTATTTTTATTACGTCGAACATACAGTTACTTAACATGGATCGTATTGAGATGTTGCTTATTTGTTTACCAGTTTTCGTTTCCATGTTTGATTGCTTATTACGATCCTGCTATACAAGACCACCTAATTGTAGTTCATATCTAGGATTTTTGCAAGAAGATTCTTGTGGGAGATGAAATACGATATTTTGGATCAATTAAGTCGTCCCTTCAATGATGTATCATACTTAGGTGTTTCTTTTTACGTAGAAACTCTAAACGATTGAACTTTGGCTGCCTTTCAAGCTTCTGCTACATTGGTAGCAACCGAAACCTTTATAGACGATAACCCCACAATGTTATTCCAAAAGACTTCCCATACAGAACTCATAGCATATTGCGGTGTATGAATCTATTATTATTATTAACTAACCAAATACATTTCCTCTAACTTTCAGTATTGGAAGAACCGGTGGTGACAGAACCCTGTCAACCATCCCCATGTGGACCTCACGCGCAATGCAAAGCCATCAACGACTCGCCATCCTGTTCTTGCCTGCCAGAATTCACTGGCTCTCCACCAAACTGCAAACCGGAATGCGTCAGTAATAGCGAATGTCCAAGCCACTTGGCTTGCATCAACCAGAAATGCAAAGACCCGTGCCCGGGCACTTGCGGTCAAAACACGGAATGCCGGGTCATAAGTCATACGCCGAACTGCGTCTGTCTGCAGGGATACTTCGGAGATCCGTTCTCCAGGTGTTTGTTAGCGCTGCGTAAGTCATACCTCGCAATTGGTGTTAGCTGCAATACGATGCGAACGTAGATGGGTAGGAAGGCTAGATTGGTTTGAAGATCATTGTGTGGTTCGATGCTAGTCGTGGTATCAATAACATAACGTACTGGCAAAACAGACAGTTTTTGATATTCATCCCCAGTACCCAAGCGATTACTTGTCATTTATATGTTCTTCGGGTCAGTTAGAAGAAACTGCACCGAAACACAGTATAATTTTGAGACTGTGTAAATGCAGTTAATGATCGTTTCAGTATAACAGTTTGTGCTATAAAACACGACTATCTATACTCGGCTACCGAAAAGGAAGGGAGCAGCAGAACACATCGCACGCCAATGCAAGCGCGGCATCTCTTTGAATACGGCGGAAAACGTGGGCACCGACTTTGCCAGTTCAAAGCCACGCCGCGCCGCACCAGCAGTGGCGTGCGATATGTTTTGCTGATCTCAGCACACGTCCAACTTTATGCTCTTACGATCTCCACCTACCATTGCTGTGGCAAGCTGATCTCCATCTTCATCCCATACAATGAAGATGACAAAGGACCCCTATGCCGCTGACCAATAATTGCGCGAAGTTCTGCGCAATCCATAGGCAGATGTGGCACCATCATAACGGTCGATACATGTAGTAGTCGAAGTACTAAGTACTGACATAGTAGACCAGCAATGGCTTTCTATGCATTACTGAGTCAAAGGCGTAGGGATTTCCTGTCTGCTGCATCGTATGGGATGAGGATGAAGATCAGCTTGGATTGATAGGTCAGAATAAATGGTGGGGATAAATGACCTGAAAATTTTGCCGTCTTATCCATTTTTTATTCCTTATTAAGTCCTTATGCATTCAAAGCTACAGTTTAATATACAGGGTGTCCGCAAAGTTGGGGTTTTCCTTTTCAGAAACAACTACCCTTGAAATAACAAAGGTAATGTGTAGTGAAACGAGGACGACCAAGTAAAAAAAAAACTAAAGGAAAAAGTACTCACTCTCCAGTTAACGAGAAGTACGTCTCTGCCCGAAATCATACCGCTCCAACAGAAAATGAAATCAGCTGATGCGCTACCGAGCAGACGCAGGCAAACAAGGAAGGCAAAATGTTGCGTAAAAAGTCTAGGTATTGCATCCCGTCCAATCGATTTGGGAGAATAAATGGTCCAATGAGCATACCGTTCACCATGCCAGCCCAAACATTCACCGAAAATGTTTGTTGAAAATGTGCCCGACGGACAGCGTGCGGATTTTCTACTGACCAAACATGAGTGTTGCGAAAGTTATTCACCCCATTACGCGTGAAGGTAGATTCGTCTGTCACCAATATGCGCTTCAAAAGTCCGGATTATTGTCATGTTGATGCAACAACCACTCACAAAACCGCACTGTTGCTGGAAAATCGTCAGGTTGAAGAGCTTGTATACGTTGGACGTGAAACGGATACAGCCCCTCTTCACGCAGCGTTTGCCACACATCAGTTTTTGATACTTGCACTTCTCTAGCCACGTCTCTAGTACTTGTTGAGGGATTCTCGTCTACGCGATTACCTCTACACGCGTGACCGTAACCGTCGGTTGAAGGTTGCATACTGACCTGACACACTGACCTCAACCCAGTTCTGTCGTCGGGTTGAGCTAGTGTCCTAGTACCACTCGGGGATGTCGCCGTTACAGGACGGTATTCAGATATTTTTGATGTTGCAGAGCCCTTTATCTCGGTTCCCTTAAGACATTGGTGTATATGGTACTAAGAAAAATTGCTTATGTTTTCAAGATCTACACGTCGTGTAAAGGAAAACCCCAAGTTTGCGGACACCCTGTATATGAAAATTTATAACTGAGAATAACGTTGCACTATGGTGACTGTTTAAGAGCGCACGTAGGCACGCGATTTCTGTCACAGTTGTACGATATTTGCTGTATGCAATGTTTACAGTCTTGCCTACAGATGTCGACATGGACTGCGAGCTTGACATAGAAAGGTCCATTGGCTATGTTTACACCATAGGCATATGCTATTTGATGCGTTATTACCTCTCTGTGATAAAATATGGCACAAGACTGGTTCGTTTACACAGTGCGCTGTGCGCTATATAAGCGCTTAGAACGCGGTATAAACGTGATCATTTGTATTGGTGTTAAAGGCTCGGTTTAGCAAGCAGTTTGAATAGGCTATATCTGGGAACGCACGGAACAGCACGGTCCTCTTGATAGCTGCCTACGGTGCAAACATGGTCATTTATTTATGCATTTCACCTAGAGGTGAAAAGGACTCTTACGTCATCTATGAGATAGTAGCAGAACCAAACACAACCTCTTTTTTCAACATGGCTTATTCGGTCGCTGATTTCAAATCAGGAGTCGGTTTGTCACTACCATGATATTTGAAGACCTATTCAAGGTCATATCAAGGACATATTCAAAAGAAACAGAGCAGTTGAGCCCAAACACATATCATTTAGGTTTTCCTGGGCTATGAGGGCATTTGAAGTCATTTCAAGGACAAAATTAAAATAAGTCTAACATTCACGTCCAGACGCGTATTATATAGATTTTGCGGTCACCGAGTCCACATTAGCAATCAGTTTGTCTCTAAAGAAGAAATTTGAAGGCTATTTTAAGACCACTCAATGAACAAATTCAAAAAAGTTGAGTAGATAACATCATATTCCTTAATAGTGTATACAAATGAGCAAAAACTGACTCTAGATCTTTTCTAGCAATAAATCTAGGTCCACAAATCAAATCTAATTAGAGTAAATGGGGGAACTTCGTTGAATAATCATAACATAAAAAAATCAATGTAAAAATAATAATCCCATCAACCCACGGTACAATGTAAGCTACATCAAGTAGATGTTCTTACTTTTTTTTTATGATCCATATTAAGATACAGACTGCCATCTTCAGAGGGAATATGTTAACGATCAGATTATGGGGTGACTTCTGTTGGCAGCATTGTTTGGGCTCATGAATAGCCTCTGATTTTAATTCGTATCGAAGGCGTAATTAGCCTGATATTCCAACCAAATAGTACCTAATCTCCCATTTTGTCTGGTCGATAAAACATCATATATTTGAAACTCTTCTTAAACATAGTAAATGTTACGGTCATTAAAGAAGAATTTCAAATATTCGGAGTTTCAATGGCCAGACAAAATGGGATATTACCAACCTGGAAACCACAGGATAAGTTTCAGATACTATAAGCCCCTTTCCACTTCAATTGGCCCACTTCAAGATTTATACCAAAATATGCCTTTATAAACTAAACATGACGAAACTATTTACTTCTAAAACAATTTATTTTCTCATAAACATTTTAGATATACTCTAGTCGTAAAAAACATATATCTGGAATCACTTAGACCTATAACTAATAGAACAGCTGAACAAATAAACAATGTGCGAATAAATGCGCGAAGTTAACAAAGCAACAATTGAAAGACTACCATTGGGTAAAATCACCTTTCTTTTTTATTACGGCTGAAATTCTTTGGGGCATAGTGTTAACCGAATTTTGCCAAAAATTTGGTGTAAAACAATCCCATATTTCTTGAAGCTTTTGTCTCAGTTCGGTGATTGTACGAGCAGGATGTTGTCGTAGAACCTTTTTCATCTCGTGCCACAAAGTTTCAATAGGTGACAGATCTGGACTGCTAGAAACCCATTTCAAAAGTGGTGCATTATTTTCTTCTATTTTATAGACTTTTTTGAGGTATGGCACGCCGCTCCATCTTGCTGAAACACAAAATCTTGGCCGGATGTCAAACGTTCTTTCATCACTGGTAAAAGCGATTCTTCTAAAATTGCCAAATATTTGTTTGTATCCACATTTTCATCAATAAAATGAAGTTTTCCTACTCCTTTTGATGACATACTGCCCCAGACCATAATGGATGCTGGAAATTTCACTTTTCTCTTTAGACAGTCAACATGGAATGCTTAATTTTTTTTTGCGAATAACTCTACTGCGACTGTCACCAACACAAACTTCGAATCGGGTCTCATCACTCCATTGTATTGCACAATATTGTTAAGGTGTCCATTGTCTATGTTCTTTATCCCATCTAAGCCGATTTTTCTTTTGCAGTGGAGTTAATAGTGGCTTTTCTTTGGCCTATAAACAAGTTGTGCAACTTTAGGGTTTTTACTTCACTTTTTTTATAAGAAAACTTACCTTGCAAGTGCTAAATCCCAGTTTGTGGGCCTCTCTATGAGTTGTGGACTTCGAAATTCTCCTTCCAACAGCGTCATATCACAGAGCACTTAATTGTAAATAATTGGCACGCCTGTTTTTCACGATTATTCTTCTTAATGCTCTTCGGTCGGCATTTGTGATATTACTTTTTTTCACATATCGTGGCTTGATATTAACTGAACCAGTTACGTTATCTCTTCTAACAATATTTCTCACACTGTACCACGATAAATCTAACAAAGTTGCAATTTCTTAGTTTGATTTCCCAGAATTAAAAAAATTTAATTATCAGTAACCAATGCGTTATAGACTTATTTTGCATTGAAATGAAAATAGGTTGATATTCTGTAATTTCAACCTGTGTTATTTTTATGCTGCAAATTTGATTAGGGAGTGATACAGTTGGTGTTTTCTACTATATATTATCAAAATATTCATTGTTAATATTTTAAACTTATAACACCTTGATACATTTTAATTATTTGTGTTTGATAAGAAAAAAACTAAGATTTCAATAGTTGGGCCAACTGAAGTGGGAAGGGGCTCGTACATAAGCCAAAAATAATCTGATGGGAATGATACATTGTATTCTTGCTAACCATTGCAATAGCATGGAGACGCTATGCGGGTCAAGACGTTCCTATGGGTACTTTTTGTTGGAGTTATCAAATTTTCCAAAAAACCTTGTCTTTGAGCTAGAATTATACATGTATTCAACCCTAATTTAACGACTTTATGATCGAACTTCTACTGCATTTACACCACGGGTTTGTTGGGGTTATTGGGCTATTATAAGACCGACTTTAACCATTTAAAAGTCCACTTTAAATCAGTGATAAAAGATTGATACGGTGGGAAATTGAACAGGTCCCCAGGAAATCCACGTATGGTGTTCTCTCTAGTACGAATTCTATAAGTAGTCTAACCATATTAGATGAAATTACTCCTGGTTTGCGAAATAATTGTAAAGTCCGGTTTTGTTGATGCAAGTCGTTCAAGGCGGTATTTAAAACATGGATGCATCAAATGGGTACACCAATTTTTGTGGGAAAACTTTTTATTCGACAACAAGGAATGAGAGAACCTGTTATTTGGGATTCAATCGAAACTGTTGGCAGGAACGAAAAAACTCTTCGAATAAGTTTTTCAGGTGTTTGTGAGGCCTACAGAATGAGACCACACATAAAAAGATCCCTCTAATAGTAAAAAGGTCTTTATCAAAATATATCAATTTAAACACAGTAATTGCTATGTTTCTGTAGTCCTCAATTTTGAATTGTAGATTATATATAAAAAGCGTACAATCAAGGAAACGAACTTTCCAAACATGCATCATTCTACTACATTCAACCACCCATGATCTTCAAATCAACAGTACAGTCCTGCGCATCTACGATAAAACTAATCCGCTTCAAGGTACTAATTTACTGGTGTTCGGTACAACCTTACGATCACGTTCTCGACAATTTCAGCTCCCCCCGCAGAGACCGTATCCCCTTGCACGCCCTCACCGTGCGGTGCAAATGCAGTGTGTAAGGAGCAGAATAACGCAGGCTCTTGCACATGCTTACCGGACTATACTGGCAACCCTTACGAAGGATGTCGACCCGAATGTACTTTGAACTCCGATTGTCCATCGAACAAGGCTTGCGTGAATCGGAAATGTGTGGATCCTTGTCCAGGAACTTGCGGTCCGAATGCGGAATGCCAAGTTGTGAATCATTTACCGTCTTGTACTTGTTTGCCAGGATTCAGTGGAGATCCGTTCAGATTCTGTTCGGCTGTGCTGAGAGAGCGTAAGGAGTTTTTTCGATTTATGGGTCTGGTATGGATGCAGCCATCAACAACAAATACATCTAGTTCAAAAGACTCAAATATACAGGGTGTTTCAGTTTATTGTTGCATAACTTTAAGATTCGAACTTTTAAAATTAATGCATAGAGTCTATATAAACATGGGTCGAAAAATGCGTGGCTTCCGAAATACCGGGTGTTTAAATTTACTTTCTAAAATAGTTTTTTTTAAATATTTCGAACAATATTTGATGTATAACAGTGAAAATTGGTATACAAGGGTTTTTTGGTACTACAAAACGAACCATGTAACCGCTAGAGGGCGCTCTCTACTATACCTGTAGTGTATTAAAATGACCGAAAAGAATTTCTTAGTGCAATTTTTTGCTTTTTGAATAAAAAAACTGATTCTTCGCACTTTTCAACATAAAAAAGCTCTTTTGTGAATTTTCGTTATAGTTAGCCGTTTTTGAGATATTTCTATGTTTAAGGTTCGATGCATTTTTAATTATTTATGATAAAATAACGTTAAGAAGTCAGTATTTCGATAATTTTTAGAAGTAGGCTGTGCCTGCAAATATTTTTGAAATTGAAAGCAGAATAAAGTTAAACGTCAAAATGTTGACAGTCAGTTTTGTTGTCTGTTAAAACCTGAAACGTTTTTTTGCAATTGTGAATGCACGAAATTTAGTTTCTTTTACCTGTTTTTTTTTTTGTAAGTTTTATAAAAATGCCATTTTTATTCTCCAATCAAGAGTTAGCGGATATTGATTTTGTGTATGGCTTTGTAAATGGAAACGCAGCAGAAGCAGCCAGAGAATATGCACGAAGATTTCCAAACAGACGACATCCAACTCGCTCAGTATTTGTAAGAGTGCATCGCCAAATAATTGAAAATAGTTCTGGAAATCTCCAAAGGGATCAAAACATAAATGTTCGTCAGCGCAGATTTACCCGCATGATTCTGCGTGAGTTTGATAGAGACCCGACCACAAGTGTTAGGAGAGTTTCTGGTGCCTTGGGAATTTCAGCAAGCCATGTTCACCGTGTTCTTAGAAATGACCATAGACGTCCTTACCATTTGCAACCTATGCAAGGACTACAGCCAGGGGACGGAGAATGAAGAATCACATTTTGTCAGCGGATTCTTGATAGAACTGATAATAATAGGGAGTTTTTAAGTAACGTTTTATGGACCGATGAGTCATGCTTCACTAGACGTGGAGTGGTAAATTTTCATAATCAACATATTTGGTCGCATGAAAATCCGCATGCAGTTCGGGAAAGAAATTTTCAGCATGAATTTAGTGTGAACGTGTGGATTGGTATCTACCGTAATCGACTATTTGGACCCTACCTTTTGCCTGCAAGGTTAAATGCTGCGACCGTCTTGGAATTTTTAAAGGCTGAACATGCAAATATGTGGGATGATGTTATGTTAGATTTAAGAAGATTGGCCTGGTTCCAGCTTGATGGTTGTCCAGCTCATTATTCGAGAATAGTTAGAAACTGGCTGGACGAAAATTATCCAGAAAGATGGATCGGCCGTGGAGGACCAGTCGCCTGGCCTCCACGATCCCCTGACCTAAATCCATTAGATTTCTTTGTGTGGGGATTTCTAAAAGAAAAAGTGTACCAGACTCCCTTAGCCACAAGAGATATGCTAATAGACAGAACCAGGAATGCATGTGATGAAATAAGGCCTTATTTGAATAATGCTATACCACGTTCGATCATTCGTAGATGTGAATTGTGTATTGAACAATTGGGTTTACATTTCGAGCAACTACTTTAGATTTTGTATGTTTGTCCTAACTATCCAATAGCATTTTAGTTGTAAATAATTAATTTAATTTGTTAAAAATAATATTGGAAAATTAAACAAATTAATATTCTGTTTTTTTTCCGTGTTAATTTGGAGTTAGGAATTATTGCTGTGTTTAAAAACACAATCTAAACGATCATCTTAAATACTTATAATGCCCAAATCGAAAATGTAAAAAAAAATATTATTTTCCCTTAAATAATTAAAAATGCAGCGAACCTTAAAAATCGAAATATCTCAAAAACGGCTAACTATAACGAAAACTCACAAAGGAGCTTTTTTATGTTGAAAACTGCGAAGAATCAGTTTTTTTATTCAAAAAGCAAAAAATTGCACAAAGAAAATTTTTTTTAAAAAACTATTTTAGAAAGTAAATTTAAACACCCTGTATTTCGGAAGCCACGCATTTTTCGACCCATGTTTATATAGACTTTATGCATTAATTTTAATAGTTCTATCGAATCTTGAAGTTATGCAACAATAAACTGAAACACCCTGTATATAATCTAGCTTTTGCATTCATATTTAGATAAAAGTGTGTTGAGTACAAATGCTGGAAACACTCTTCAAAATACGTACTCCTCAAAAGTACCAGATAAGCGACTTTTACAGTGACAGGTGTCATAGTATGACTTGAATCTTTGAAAACAAGGATGTCGAGTACACCAAGAAATAAGGTGCTTGTAATAAATGGACCTTAGTTCAAAGTAAAGTTGTTGGTAGTTGTAGTTGGATAAACATGGCCAAGCTGTTATTCAGAATGTTTATGAAACATTTACTGGAAAATACTCATAATACTAGATCAGAATTGGAGAGACACAAGTAGATCAAAATCGAAACCGAAACTACCGTTTCAAATATTTGCTTTGCCATTTCTTTTATACGCTTTTATTTTCGAACAATAGACGAAGTTATATTGAGACACATCACATTGCTTGATACAGATATCTAATGCTAATCCAAATACTTCAAACATAAAACCAAAACCGGAGTCAAAGGATAACTTCCAATCATAAGCAGCATGGTCATGTTGCTATTCTGTACCAGACCCACCTGTTATATTGCTTCTGCTTAGATTGACCAATGGCTATCGCTCAAACATCGAAGTATCGTGAACTTTACCAAAAATTTCCTAACAGCTACACCAGAACCAAAGAATCCTTGCCAACCAAGCCCATGTGGACCAAATAGTCAATGCAAGGAAGTCAATGGGCAAGCAGTATGTTCTTGTTTACCAAATTATATTGGCAGCCCGCCAGGATGTAGACCTGAATGTACGGTCAGCTCAGAATGTGCTCTAGTCCAAGCTTGTGTGAACTTGAAATGTGTCGACCCATGTCCTGGAAGTTGTGGGCTCAACGCTAAGTGCGAAGTGATAAATCATAGCCCAATATGTAGTTGCTCACCAGGCCATACTGGAGATCCTTTCACCAGATGCTATCCTACACCACCACCACGTAAGTGTATTTTATTGTTGATTGTAAAACAGCGCAATGAAAGTGCAGATATTGAGACGTAAAACAATAAGATTACTACCTATCTTCTTCACTATAGACTTTGTAGTGGATAGCATGACTTCACATCATAGAGCTCCACAAGATTAAATATATTTATTTCTCAAACTGACCCCAGCATGACCGCTTTGTCTCCCAGACAGCTGCAACTCCCATGTTCTCGTCATCGACTTAATACCTCGTATTTAGAAACCTGCTATTGATGACTGTCATTCAGATCGTCAGAAGAATATTATTGATACGTCTATCTGCACTTTATTTGCTTCATCTTCGTTTTGGAAATAGTTAAGAATGATTGTTTTTTAGCTCCACCATCTCTACCAGAGCCTGTTAGAGATCCGTGCATACCTTCACCATGTGGCCCAAACTCAGAATGTAGAAATACTGGAGGCACACCGTCTTGCTCTTGCTTGCCGAAATATTTGGGACAACCACCAAACTGCAGACCTGAATGTACCATCCATTCTGAATGTCCTAGTAACTTAGCTTGCATCAACCAAAAATGCGTAGACCCATGTCCAGGATCTTGTGGAGTATTAGCAACATGCAGTGTTACCAACCATATACCAATTTGTACTTGTCCAGATGGATATACCGGTGACCCGTTCACGCAATGTGTGCTCAAACCAATAGTTGTGGAGCCTCAAGAAACTGATCCTTGCAATCCTTCTCCATGTGGACCAAATGCTCAGTGTGACGATGGAGTGTGCACATGTCTAGCAGAATACCATGGAGATCCATACCAAGGTTGCAGACCAGAATGTGTCTTGAACCAAGACTGCTCTAGAGACCGAACGTGTATCAGAAACAAGTGCACAGATCCATGTCCTGGTACATGCGGACAAAACGCTGAATGTGCTGTGATCAACCACATACCAACATGCAGTTGCATCTCAGGCTACACAGGCAACGCGTTTGTGATTTGTAACCCGATACCAAAGGAAATACCAAAGAATCGTTGCAACCCATCACCATGTGGACCAAATAGTCAATGTAGAGAAATCAATGGACAAGCGGTTTGCTCCTGTGTGCCAGGTTTTATTGGAAGTCCACCTACTTGTAGACCGGAATGCGTTTCTAGTTCAGAATGTCCGTTGAATCAAGCTTGCGTCAATCAGAAGTGTATTGATCCTTGTCCTGGAACTTGTGGTATCAATGCTTTATGCCAAGTTATCAACCATAATCCAATATGCAGTTGCAAACAGAGGTATACCGGAGATCCTTTCATAAGATGTACAGTAATAGGTGAGTTTATCAGTGAACATCAAATTAGATTAGAAATATGGGGTCATTAAAGGGTTTTGTGAGACTGACGACCATAATTATCTCTACTGACGTCAAAAACAAGCACTGTTCCAAGACCTATAACAAGAACTTGTGATGTTTTGCATTTATACATTTGTTTAAACGATACCTGAAACTACGACATTAAAGAAGGATCTTAAAATATGGTGTCAGGGTTAATGGTATAGCAAAACTCCTTCTGTGTTCCTGGAACAATTTTTGTTTGAAAGCTCAATCCTAGTTCCATTTTTATTACATGAAATAGAGATCAAATTTAACCGTCCACAATGCATATTTTTGTATAATTATTACAATGTGGCATTATACCAATTCATATTATTCAAATCATTTCAGTTGAACCAACAGCGGTGGTTCCAGCAAACCCATGCGTTCCATCACCATGTGGGCCAAATTCACAATGCAAGGCAGTTGGTGACTCACCATCATGTTCTTGCTTGCCAGAATTCATTGGATCGCCACCAAACTGCAAGCCTGAGTGTATCAGTAACAGCGAATGTGCAAGCCATTTGGCTTGTATCAATCAGAAATGCAAAGATCCATGTCCTGGCACATGCGGACAAAATGCTGAATGCAGAGTTGTCAGTCATACGCCAAATTGTGTATGTTTGCAAGGTTACGTTGGAGATCCGTTTTCGTTCTGTAGTTTACCCAGTAAGTATTCAAATCTGTTATTAACGTGCGTTAGAAAATATGTCACTAACAAAATATGTGCTATCGCTTCATATCTGTTGCACAACCCAATCTTACAGAACATTGATTAAACACACTATCCATATCTCCAGGAAGACTTGATAATCAACTTTTTATTTTAGCTCCAGTCCCAGTGGAAAGACCCACACCTTGTCTTCCATCGCCATGTGGAGCAAATGCCGAATGTAAAGAACGCAACGGTGCAGGCGCTTGTACTTGTCTTCCAGATTACATTGGTAACCCTTACGAAGGATGTAGACCTGAATGTACTTTGAATTCCGATTGTCCCTCTGACAAGGCTTGTATCAACAACAAATGTAAAGATCCTTGTCCTGGAACCTGTGGTCAAAACGCAATGTGCCAAGTTGTGAATCATCTGCCATCTTGTACTTGTGTGACAGGATATACTGGAGATCCTTTCAGATACTGCAATGTGATTCCACCACGTAAGTGATTTTAATAGCTAACATTAGTGGCATTACATAATTGCTTTTCCGAATGGTCAATACTGAAGACTAAGTAATGTGCCTTTTCATGAACATACCTATCATTAAAATGTTTGGAATAAAACTACACTATAAATAATGTTTTAGGTAAAGAAGAACCACCAAAGAACCCATGCAATCCTAGCCCTTGTGGACCAAACAGTCAATGTCGTGAAGTAAACGGACAAGCAGTTTGTTCTTGTCTTCCAGACTACATCGGAAGCCCGCCTGGCTGCAGACCTGAATGTACAGTCAGTTCAGAATGCCCACATGATAAGGCTTGCATCAACCAGAAATGCTCTGACCCATGCCCAGGAACTTGCGGACTTAACGCCAATTGTCAAGTAGTGAACCATAGTCCGATATGTAGCTGCCAATCAGGATTTACTGGTGATCCGTTCACTAGATGTTACGCTATACCTCCACCACCTATAGAGCCTGTCAGAGTACCAACAAATCCTTGCGTACCGTCACCATGTGGACCCAACAGTCAGTGCAGGGACATTGGCGGATCACCATCTTGTTCTTGTCTGCCAGATTACCAAGGAAGTCCACCTAATTGTAGACCAGAGTGTACGATCAACTCAGAATGTGCAAGTAACTTGGCTTGTATCAACCAAAAATGTAAAGACCCGTGTCCAGGATCTTGTGGAGCTAACGCCAGGTGCAATGTTATCAACCACACTCCCACATGTTCATGTATAGAAGGTTACACCGGAGATCCATTCACGTTTTGTCAACAGAAACCACCAGAACGTATTCCTGTGGTAGAAGATCCATGTAACCCATCACCATGTGGACCAAATGCTAGATGTGATAATGGAATATGTTCTTGTCTACCAGAATACCAAGGAGATCCTTATAGAGAATGCAGACCTGAGTGTGTCTTGAATAACGACTGTCCCAAGGACAAGGCTTGTGTGAGGAACAAATGCATAGATCCTTGTCCAGGAACTTGTGGTCAAAACGCAGAATGCTCAGTGGTCAACCATATACCAATTTGCACTTGTATGCAGGGCTATGTTGGAAATGCTTTCGTACTTTGTACACCCATACCAGGTAAATCCTCATTTTTACTCAGCTAAGCTCATGTAAATATGTCAATTTCCCCAGAAAGTTCTTGAAAGTACCGATAACCTCATCTCGTGCAATCTATGTTACTTGATGTAAGTCCTAGGTGACAAAACTTCTTTATTGGCATGGAACCTTCAGAAATATACATGCCTACAACCAATACTAATGATAAATTGAACCAGATGAACTCAGTTTATTCTTTTTTAGCTGAAGCTCCGAAGAACCCCTGCAGCCCGTCACCATGTGGACCAAACAGTCAATGTAGAGAGGTAAATGGACAAGCAGTCTGCTCTTGCGTACCAGGCTTCATTGGCAGTCCTCCAGCTTGTAGACCTGAATGTGTGTCTAGCTCTGAATGTCCGCTCAACAAAGCATGTGTCAATCAGAAATGTATAGATCCTTGTCCTGGTACTTGTGGACTGAATGCAAATTGTCAAGTTGTGAATCATAACCCTATTTGCTCATGTCCACCTGGACAATCCGGAGATCCATTTACAAGATGTTTGCCAATACGTAAGTATCAAAACTAAGTAATAATTTTTAAAGTAAATTGAAATACATCTAGAATGACTGCTAAGCCACCGGTAGTCTTAACTTCACAATATCACAAACAAGTGCTAAGCAGTTTTTTTGTTCTCAGGAGAAGAGCCAAAACCAGTACCTCAAAACCCATGTCAACCAAGCCCATGTGGTCCCAACTCCCAATGTAGAGTGGTAGGAGACGCCCCGTCATGTTCTTGCCTCCCGGAATTCATCGGGTCACCTCCAAGCTGTAGACCAGAATGTGTGAGCAACTCCGAATGCCCTACGAACTTAGCTTGCATCAACCAGAAATGCACAGACCCATGTCCAGGTTCATGCGGTTTGAACGCTGAATGCAGAGTGGTCAGTCACACTCCGAATTGCGTCTGTTCGGCAGGATTTGTAGGCAATCCCTTCATTCAATGTGAACCAAAGAAAGAAGTAGTTGTTGCTGAAAGACCCACACCTTGCGTGCCATCTCCTTGTGGGGCCAATGCGGACTGTAGAGAACACAACGGTGCAGGAGCTTGTAGTTGCATACGAGATTACATCGGAAATCCTTACGAGGGATGTAGACCTGAATGTACGTTGAACTCGGATTGTCCATCCAACAAGGCGTGTATCAATAACAAGTGTAAAGACCCTTGTCCTGGAACCTGTGGACAGAACGCTGAATGCCAAGTCATCAACCATCTGCCTTCCTGTGTTTGTATACCAGGGTATACAGGAGATCCATTCAGGTTCTGCCACGTACCACCTCAGCAAGAACGTAAGTAACAAATTCTATCGACTTAAGCTATTCTTACCACCATATCATCAGTATCACAACTGCAATAAAGTACTTGTACTCAGTCCAAGTCATCAAACCTTGAACCAAGTGCCTTACATTCTTAATACTAGTATTATTCTCATAAGTACCTACAGACTACTAAAAACTGATACTTAACCGAAATAATCTTCAAAATATTTAGTTTGGTCGAATGCCACTTTAACATACTATAACGTTTTGATGGCTCGTTGTTAAAAAAAATGTCACAAGGTGGTAGCCAGCCGTTATTTTGAAGTTTTGGTACTTTCAAAAAATTAGTAACAGGACTGAATAGTATGATTCAACATAATTGACAAGGCATTAATTATTTTAGCACCAACACCATCAAATCCTTGCCAACCAAGCCCATGTGGTCCAAACAGCCAATGTAGGGAAGTGAATGGTCAAGCAGTGTGTTCATGTCTACCAAATTACATCGGAAGTCCTCCAGGATGTAGGCCAGAATGTACTGTGAGCTCCGAATGTGCACAAGACAAAGCTTGTATCAACCAGAAATGCACAGATCCTTGCCCAGGAACTTGTGGATTGAATGCAAACTGCCAAGTGATCAATCATAGTCCCAGTTGTAGCTGTAAGGCACTGTTTACGGGTGATCCGTTCACCAGATGCTACCCGATACCACGTAAGTGTCACCAAGATCCATATAAACAGAACAGAATCTTAATAGATTATCTAGGGTTTTGAAAAATCAAATAAATAATGCCTACTTTCATCATTTTAGCTCCTCCTCAAGAACCACCAAAGGTCGTCAATCCTTGTGTTCCATCTCCTTGTGGCCCTAACAGTCAATGTCGCGACGTGGGAGGCACGCCATCTTGCTCTTGCTTGCCTAACTACATCGGAAGTCCACCGAACTGTAGACCAGAATGTACTATCAACGCAGAATGTTCAAGTAACTTGGCTTGCATTAGAGAAAAGTGCGTGGACCCATGTCCAGGATCATGTGGAGCAGATGCGATCTGTAGAGTGTTGAACCACATACCAACTTGCACTTGTCCAGAAGGATACATTGGAGATCCGTTCAGATACTGCCACATCAAACCTCAGGAAATAGAGCCAGTTGAGACTGATAAATGCAACCCGAGCCCTTGTGGAGCAAATGCTCAATGTCAGGATGGAGTATGTACGTGCCTACCAGAATACCAAGGAGATCCGTACAGAGGTTGCAGACCAGAATGCGTCTTGAACAGTGATTGTGCAAGGAATTTGGCGTGTATAAATAACAAATGTAAAGATCCATGTCCTGGGACATGTGGACAGAACGCTCAATGTGATGTGATTAACCATATTCCTACGTGTACATGCAACGAAGGGTACCAAGGAAATGCATTTGTCATCTGTTCTCCAATACCAGGTTAGTATTACATTTTTCATATAGTAGTTGTAAGATTATATAATCAAGTTCGTCATTCCGACAAGTCCTTAAGAATAGTGAATACGGGTTGAGAAACAGAAACAAGAAATTGGAATGTTTTTGCTGCTCCAAAAAATGATCGACTACGCTGAAGACGCTAAAGCTTACGAAGCAATAAGCAAAGTTAGTCAGTCGTACAAGAAAACAGGAAGTACAGAACCCTATACTACACTATTTAAAACTGTAATGACTCATACGCGTGATCAACACGTGATCAGAGCTCGATCCCGGCTTCCTTCCAGTACAGCCGTATAGCGTACGACATATGTCGTTTCTGTGGCTTTGCGGTGATCAACAGCACAGACAGAGATGGAAATAATGGCTGATTGTTCTCCGCCGGTAGAACCAATGAAATCAAAGACGCGCCTCGACCGGCAGACTCATAGGCGACGGCAACGCATTGGAACGTGTTTCGTTGAGCGATCGCATACTGTGTATTTTTATAAGAATTGTTGTATGATTGTTATTGTTGTGGCTTCTGTGGTTACTGTTTTGGTTATACTTAACCATGGAGAGTACAAATGGCACGAGTGGAATACTGAAAGCCAGGGAACACGTAGACGGCTTCGTAAAGCACTGAAGAGGGACGCGAAAGAAATCGTGCTCAACGTGCTCAATTATCTGAACAGAACTATGTCGCAGGGACATGCACTCGCGCGTTGTGAAAGTATGACAGGCGTTCCAGAGTGGACCATTCGCAGGGTGGTGCATGAAAAGAAGAAAACTGGAGCTACTACTGATCCAAAGTTTAATTTGAAGGGACGAAAGGCCGTTAAATTGGATGACGATAGCAAAATGGCGTTAAGGCGAACCGTACATTCATTCTTCTTTAGGAATGAGATACCAACCCTCAAGGCTGTACATGCAGCGATCAAGGAAAATGAAATTATACCCCAAATGAGCGTCGAGGTAATGAGGAAATCCCTGCACGAAATTAATTTGCGTTAGGAAACGCGTAATCGGAAGTCAGTATTGATAGAGAGACCTAAAATAGTCGCCTGGCGTCGAAAATACCTACGCGAAATGATTGAATATAGGCGACAAAGCAGAAAAATCTATTATTTGGACGAGACATGGGTAAATGCAGGTCACACAGTTAAAAAAACCTGGATAGACAAAAACGTAGTGAGTAACCGACAAGCAAGCATTGAAGGTTTGTCAACAGGTCTTCGTGGACCCTCAGGGAAAGATCAAAGATTGATCGTAACTCATATCGGTAGCGATAGTGGCTTTTTAGAAGAGTGTGACTTGATTTTCGTCTCTAAGAAAGGAGGTGATTACCATGACGAAATGAATGCCAGCTGCTTCGAGAGCTGGTATCAAGGGGTGCTTCAGCGAGTTGAGCCCAACTCTGTGATCGTCATGGATAATGCTTCCTACCATAGTCGTCGAGCCGAACGTGTACCGACTATGGGATCTCGAAAAAGTGACATGCAGCAATGGTTGCGCGAAAAAGGAATCCCGTTTGACGATTCATGTGTGAAAGCTGAATTGTATGAAAAAATTAAACAGCACAAACCTGCGAACATTAGTTACGTGACTGATGAGATGGCCCGTCAATGTGGTGTCACTGTGCTGCGGTTACCGCCCTACCACTGTGAACTGAACCCAATAGAGCTCATCTGGGCTCAAGTGAAGGGTTATATTGCGCGCCATAACACAACCTTCAAATTACCAGACGTTAAGGTTTTACTTGAGACTTCCATACAGCTAATAACGCCCGAAGCTTGGCAGAATGCTATCCGTCATGTTGTGAAGGAAGAAACAAAAATGTGGCAGCTTGACCACACCACATCGACACCATCATAGAGCTAGTTATAGTCAATTTCAACGAAGAAAGCGATAGCGACAGTTTATTACTGTCAGATGTAAGTGGAAGCAACGATGAATAAAGGTAATTCCCAAATGTTTGACTTACAATATGTTTCAAACCACTCTTTATTAAGCATGTGACAAATCTAGTTCACCCATGTTCAACATTCATACCCCGCCTATGAACAGCCGACTACTGGTAGTTAAGTGATGTTCACGTGAACATCGATGAGTCATTACAGTTTTAGATAGTTGTAGTATAGTACTTTTGCTTGTCTTTCCACTGACTTTTGATGATGCTATATAATGAAGAGCAAAACCTTCAAACGTATCTCGTTAAGCACCTTTTTTGTAAAAACCTATGATGCTTTTGTGGTACAATAACATTGATTGCTCTTAGCTTTCTCTTGAGTTATAACAACCTTAACTTATTTTCAGCTGAAGTTCCAACGAATCCATGCAGCCCATCACCATGTGGACCAAACAGTCAATGTAGAGAGATAAATGGGCAAGCAGTTTGCTCATGCGTACTAGGTTTCATTGGCAGTCCACCCGCTTGTCGACCTGAATGTGTGACCAGTACCGAATGTCCACTGAATCAAGCGTGTGTCAATCAGAAATGTATAGACCCATGTCCTGGAACCTGTGGATTAAGAGCAAAATGCCAAGTGGTCAATCATAATCCCATTTGTAGTTGTCCACCAAAGTATTCTGGAGATCCGTTTACAAGATGCATTCCTATAGGTAAGTTCTATAATATCAAATACATAGTAATATTGTAAACAATGAAAGAAATTCGTTATATCAGATAATACTACTTTTAGTTCTCAAACACCGAATGAAACCCCCACGAATATATAAAATACGTTTTCTTACACTTTGATGACTTTTTGTTTCTTTTCAGAAGAGAAACCAGAACCAACACCTCCACGTCCTTGCGAGCCTTCACCATGTGGTCCAAACTCCCAATGCAAGGACATCAATGGTTCCCCATCATGCTCTTGTCTACCAGAATTCGTCGGTTCTCCACCAAATTGCAAACCAGAATGCGTCAGTAATAGCGAATGTCAAATACATCTTGCCTGCATCAACCAGAAGTGCAAAGATCCATGTCCTGGAGTTTGCGGTCAAAACGCTGAATGCCGAGTGGTCAGCCACACACCCAACTGCGTTTGCCTGCCAGGTTTTGTTGGTGATCCATTCATCACTTGTCGAGTACCAACGCCAATCAAGCAAGAGGCCTCGCATCCCTGCATTCCATCACCATGTGGTGCCAATGCTATTTGCAAGGAATTAAATGGAGCAGGATCGTGTACTTGTCTACCAGAATATATTGGAAACCCCTACGAAGGCTGTAGGCCAGAATGTACCTTGAATTCAGACTGTCCTTCCGATAAGGCTTGTATAAGGAACAAATGCGTGAATCCGTGTCCAGGTACTTGTGGACAAAATGCAGAATGCCAAGTCATCAACCATTTGCCTTCGTGTACTTGTATACCAGGATATACCGGAGATCCGTTCAGGTTCTGCAACCTACAACAACGTAAGTTACAGAGAACGTCGAAGGTTATTGTGTAATTTTAGAGCTTAAGTATCAGATGGTCGCGAAAATATTATAATAAATACTTAAGCCGTAGGTTTTTAGTTAACGGACTTAGCAGTATTATGGAGTTTGGAATGATCATGATTATCAATAAGAAGCAGCATATGCTTAAAGCACAAACCTCAAACCATATGATCAAACTGACATATCGACACATAAGCCGAACAAAAGCTTTAATTGAGTCACAAAGGTTTAAACAGGATCTTAAATGTCCATAATATTTCTGCTAAACATTCATCTTGGCATTGAAAGATTGTATAGTCCATCAACAGTTATTTTGAATGAATGTGTATCGTATGTTTTTTTATATTTTAGCTGTGAAAGTTGAGGAGCCTAAAAATCCCTGTCAACCAAGTCCTTGCGGACCAAACAGTCAATGTCGTGAAGTGAATGGTCAAGCAGTGTGTTCATGTCTACCAAATTACATCGGTAGTCCACCAGGATGTAGGCCAGAATGTACCGTGAGCTCCGAATGTGCCCAAGACAAAGCTTGTATCAACCAGAAATGCGCAGATCCTTGTCCAGGAACTTGTGGGCTAGATGCAAATTGCCAAGTGATAAATCATAGTCCGATTTGTAGCTGTAAGGCACAATTCACAGGAGATCCGTTCACCAGATGCTTCCCTACACCTCGTAAGTTACACAATCATAAAACAACTGATAGCTGCTTATCAACTTCTGGCCCAATATACTGTTACAATAATAATTGTTTTCTTCCAGCACCTCCAAAAGAACCAGTGAAGATCCAGAACCCATGCGTACCATCTCCATGCGGTCCAAACTCGATATGTCAAGACGTGAACGGAGCACCATCTTGTTCTTGCGTGGCAAACTACATTGGAACACCTCCAAACTGTAGACCTGAATGTACGATCAATTCTGATTGTCCCAGCAACTTGGCTTGCATCAATCAGAAATGCAAAGATCCGTGTCCTGGATCATGTGGTTCCAACGCCCAATGCAGTGTCATCAACCATACACCAATATGTTCTTGTATTGAAGGCTACACCGGGGATCCTTTCAGTTATTGTAAGATCAAGCCCATCGAGGTCAAACCGATAGAAACAGACCCTTGTAACCCGTCACCATGTGGTGCCAATGCCAAATGCAGCAATGGCGTATGCACTTGTCTACCGGAATACCAAGGAAACCCATACGAAGGTTGCAGGCCTGAATGTGTCTTGAACAGCGATTGTGCGAGGAATCTGGCATGTATAAACAATAAATGTAAAGACCCATGTCCTGGCACATGTGGACAGAACGCTCAATGTGCTGTGATCAACCATATTCCTACTTGCACGTGCAATGAGGGATATCAAGGGAATGCATTTGTCTTCTGCTCTCCAATACCAGGTTAGTTACCTTTTATAATCTCTCTAGATCAATTCAAAGTTCTTGAATCGTAGTCGCCGATTTCAAACAAGGTATCCTTCCATCTGACCCCACTCCCTTCCGTTCGCTCAATCACTCACTTCCTGTCTTCCCTTATTCCTTTCCACTTCCATGATTTCTCCGCTTGTTGCAACCAAACTTGATAAGCCAAGAGCAGTACAGACAAGCTTAATTTTATAAAAGAGTTGATACTGATGATGTTTTACTTTCCAGCTGAAGCTCCAAAGAACCCCTGCAGCCCATCACCATGTGGACCAAACAGTCAATGTAGAGAGATAAACGGGCAAGCAGTGTGCTCTTGCGTACCAGGTTTCATAGGCAGTCCACCTACTTGTCGACCTGAATGTGTGACCAGCACTGAATGTCCACTGAACCAAGCGTGTGTCAATCAAAAATGCATAGACCCATGCCCCGGCACGTGTGGAATCAGCGCTAGATGCCAAGTAGTCAATCACAATCCAATCTGTAGTTGCCCGGATAGATACACTGGAGATCCATTCTTGAGATGTATTCCTGTGGTTCAAGAGCCTGCTCCGGTACCAACCAATCCTTGTCAACCATCACCTTGTGGACCAAACTCTCAGTGCAAGGAAGTGAATGGTTCACCTTCATGCTCATGCTTACCAGAGTTCCTTGGATCACCTCCAAACTGTAAACCTGAATGTATCAGCAACAGCGAATGTCCAAGCCATTTGGCTTGCATCAACCAGAAATGCAAAGACCCGTGTCCAGGAGTTTGTGGTCAGAACGCTGAATGTAGAGTGGTGGCCCATACACCGAACTGTATCTGCTTGCAAGGCTTTTCTGGCAACCCCTTCCAACAGTGTTTAGAAATACAAGCGCCTAGGCCTGCAGAGCAAATAGATCCATGCTTCCCGTCACCTTGTGGCGCTAACGCAATTTGTAAAGAAAGAAACAACGCGGGATCTTGCGTGTGCATACCAGAGTACATAGGAAATCCTTACGAAGGATGTAGGCCAGAATGTGTATTGAACTCTGATTGTCCGTCGAACAAGGCTTGTATCAATAACAAGTGCAAAGATCCTTGCCCAGGAACTTGTGGACAGTTTGCTGAGTGTCAGGTGATCAACCATCTGCCAAGTTGTACATGCGTACCTGGATATACTGGGGATCCATTCGTATTCTGCAATGCTATCCAGATCAAAGAACGTGAGTATATTAGCCAAAGCTGTAGGGGCCACTGAAGATCGCCACATTAAGCTCCCCATTCACAATCATTCTATCGTACCAGATTTGGTGCCACCATACGACAGTTATCACGAACAAGTAACATAATTAGTGCTTCTGTTACCCCTGTATTCAAAAAGGGCGACAAATCCTCCGCTAAAAATTATCGACCAATAAGTCTCGTTCCTATCGCCGCCAAAATAGCTGAAAGAATCATAAGCTCCTGTCATTTGCTTTCGAAAATGACCTTATCCCTAAGAATCAGCATGGATTTCTCCCTGGTCGATCAATAATGACCAACCTTCTCCACTCCCTCAACGATTGGACTCAGTATCTGGACACAAAGACTCCTGTTGATATAATCTACTTAGATTTTTCTAGGGCTTTCGATCGCGTACCACATAGAAGGCTTCTGTTTAAGTTGGAATGTATAGGAATAAGAGGCGAGTTGTTACTGTGGATTAAGGCTTTTCTCACCGGGAGGACTTTCTCTGTGCGCGTCAGTGATAGCCAGTCTCACCTTCATCATGTAGCAAGTGGAGTTCCTCAAGGCTCTGTCTTGGGGCCAGTGCTGTTCCTTCTGTATACAAGTGACCTGCTCGCATTGATTTCCTCCACATGTTCAGCTTATGCCGACGACACCAAGATTTACAATACTGTCGTAAATTCTGCTATGCTTCAACGAGATCTTGATATTGTTTGTCAATGGTCAGTCAGTTGGCTTTTACCCTTAAATCTAACTAAGTCTTGTGTCCTTCACCTCGGGAAGACAAATCCGCGATTTACATACAAGATCTCTGACCACAACCTCGAAGCAGTTTCCAGCCACACTGATCTGGGCGTTGTAGTCAACGATCGTCATTCCTGGTCAGAGCATATTCACCACGTTACATCAAAAGCCAAGAAACTTCTATACATGCTGGAGAGGTCTTTCAAAGGATCCGATGTCAACACTTGCGCCTACATTTACAAGGCATTCGTGAAGCCAATTCTTGAATTCGCTGGCCCGATATGGGACCCTGTGCTTCTGCGCGATATAAATCTCGTCGAATCAGTACAGCGTCGGGCTACTCGTATCCCTTTTGGAGCACGAAGACCAAGCTATGAAGATCGCCTTGAATTATTCAACCTGACCCCATTCTCTGAGCAAAGACTTCGTGGCGGTCTTATAGTTACGTTCAGGATACTTCGTGGTTTGATGGGCACCAACCTCATGCATCTATACCGTCTGTCGCGCAGCAATCTACGCGGACACAGCTTCAAACTACATAAGGAGCCATTTAAAACAACAGTTCGACAGTGGTTTCTTCCCAACCGCATATTCAACACCTGGAATAGTTTACCTGAAAGTGTGATTGGTGCTACTTCAGTTAAAAGCTTCAAAGTGCATTATGATAGCTGGAGGAGTGTACAAACTTTATAGCTATGAACTGTCTTTTTTATTTTTTTCTATTTGATGTATTTGTGTTACGTGTCCGTACACTATATTTACTGCATGAGCTTATAGTACTGTGTACTCTGCTCATCTCAATTATCATAATAATAATAATAATAATAATAATAATAATAATAATAATAATAATTGTCAAAAAGTTACAGTATATGAAGGCCATTTACCTGATACCGAGACGTTTTTAGCATTTGTGTAATGTCATTTGTTCTCCAATTTACGTCTATTGAATGAAAAAATATCTAGAAATGGCAGAAGCTAATGAGACATTTCTAAATTCTTACAAAATATGAAATCAAATAACCGATTTCACTTACTCTTGAACATTGAACATTCTCGAGTCTTCAGTGACCTCTCATCAAGCAAAGTATGTATGTCTTACTATCTATATATTTTAGCAACTCCTGTTCAACCATGCAACCCAAGTCCCTGTGGACCAAACAGTCAATGTCGTGAAGTGAACAACCAAGCAGTATGCTCCTGCCTGCCGAATTATATTGGATCACCGCCAGGTTGTCGACCAGAATGTACTGTCAGTTCTGAATGCTCTCAAGAAAAAGCTTGCATCAACCAAAAATGCGTTGATCCTTGTCCGGGAACATGTGGATTGAACGCCAAATGTCAAATGATAAATCATAGCCCTATATGCAGTTGCTCTATAGGAAACACGGGTGATCCGTTCACTAGATGCTACAACATACCACGTAAGAGCACAACTTTTCATTATTTTTATTATCTCCCTTTTCGATATATTGCATTTTTTCCAACTCATCCATCATTGATCGTGATGGTTCTTGTTTAGTGTAATATTTTGCTTACTCGTTTGTTTATACCTACATATATGCTAAATACAAAAATATTGGAATCTGCTCAAAACCAAAATAGAATATTAAAGCTTTTCAATCCAATACCCCTGATCGTGACTTGTAACGTTTAGCTTAATTTTTCTTGTGTTGTTTTCAAATACTCCAGTATCCAATATTTCTTCTATATTGTTGCTTCAATAAATATCATTCATATTAATTATATTATAAGCTGTTGAATCGACATTCCTCTTTGGAATTGGAGTAAAAGTAACCGTTTGTGTTCTTCAGCACCTCCAAAAGAACAACCGACACCAGTAGTAACAGATCCTTGCGTTCCAAGTCCTTGTGGAGCAAACAGTCAGTGCAGAAATATAGGAAACAACCCGTCATGTTCATGTCTACCGAACTATATAGGCAACCCGCCTAACTGTAAGCCAGAATGTACAATCAACTCAGAATGCCCAAGCAACTTGGCTTGTATCAATGAAAATGCAAGGACCCTTGTCCTGGATCTTGCGGTATTGGAGCAGTATGCGAAGTACGGAATCACAATCCAAACTGTGCTTGTCCTCCTGGTTATAGTGGCGATGCTTTCGTCACTTGCATTTATGTACCTCCACAACGTAAGTATATTTTCAAATGAAAACATTATTTTAAGATGCACATGTTCTTTGTCTAGGTTTCAAATCGTTTTGAAGCTTCTCAGGCCTATAAGCCAAGCTTTCTGAATTATGTTACGCTCAAAAGTGATTTAACTTCCAGTTGGATTTATTCTTATTCATCAATTTTTTACACAACATATGCTTATGGATTTTCTGATTGATAAATGTTACCATCAACTGTAATATCTTCACATACAACAAATATAAGCATCTTCAAAGTTAGATTCATAGGAAACTGTTGACTGATATTTCACAATTGATTCCTTCTTTTAGTACCAGCACCAAAAGACCCTTGCCATCCAAACCCATGTGGTCCAAACGCAAGGTGCAATGATGGTACATGTACTTGTCTGCCAGAATACCAAGGAGATCCATACAGAGAATGTCGACCAGAATGTGTATTGAACAGTGACTGTCCTAGAGATAAAGCATGTATAAACAGAAAATGCAAAGATCCATGCCCTGGAATTTGTGGACAAAACGCTGAATGTACCGTGTTCAACCACGTACCTTCATGCAATTGCTTACAGGAATATTCAGGAAATCCATTTGTACTTTGCTCGAAAGTTGAAGGTAAGCGTACTTACTGTGCTTGCAACAAAAGGCGTTGAAGATGTCTTTGATTAGGCATATCATTGGAGATTAGATTTTCAGGACTAATAGTTAAGACACTTAAGAGGGAGCACGCTTTATTTGCTTTGATAGCCCTGAGTCTTGAGGAAAATTATAAAATATGTATCTTTCTCACGGTAGAAGGCGGTCTTCTTCGATCTGAGCCCTCTTTATTACCTTTGCATTATCATTAACTGCACTACGTTTTTCAGGGAAAGTAAAGGACCATCCAAATGGACTACGGTACATATAGTCAGAATCACGGAAGATGACCTTTACGTTATATCATAAATTATACTGAAGTAATCAATGGACGTACGTCGATGATAAAATCACGATGTCAGGAATGATGACAATAAATTTATGTTATGAGTTTGTTTAGACAATAAAATTCTGTTTGTCTCTGTCTAACATATCAGAAACTTCATTAAAAATATTCGCTGTCGTTTGTCTTTGATACAGACTAAAATGATGACGTAATCGTCATCTTTCGTGATTTTGACTTTATACTCCGCATCAAGCGTTAAATTAATGGTTAACAACGTTTCTCAAGGAAAGTCGAATATTACAGAAAGATTTGTCAGAATTGTGACGTGGACGTAGTTGTGCTTCTGGCAGAGCACCCTTGCTTAGCACCGCATAGGGCTGACAAGGAATAAACTCACAAATTCGCAGAGATGTCACCTCAGAGCGGAACTTTCTCCACATGCAATTCCAACTATACTAAGTGACATATAAATCCGAACGCCCAGTTTAAATGGTTTTATTTTAATAAAATTTTGTATAAGTACTTAATGAAGCATAATAAGTAAATAATAAAAATTTCAAAATGATTGCACTGCTTTAAAGCCCTTTGACCTTTAATAATGCGTGGATGCACCCTGATGTGCTACGCATTCTCCAACGCGCATGCTTCTGATCAGGTGGTCAATGTCCTCCTGTGGTATCTCATTCCAGGCAACCACCAACTCCTCTCGAAGTGCTTCTAGAGTCTGAGGAGGACGTTGCAAATTGAGCAATCTCCTACCCATCATATCCCACACGTGCTCAATTGGGGATAAGTCGGGAGATCTTGGTGGCCATGGTAACAATGTGACATCATTATGTTGAAAGAAGTCTATTGTGACTCTTGCAACATGTGGTCGGGCATTATCTTGTTGGAAAGTTGGATCTGCCAGGGTGTCAAGATAGGGTAAAAGATGGGGTTCTAGAACTTCGTGGATATACGCTGCGCGTTCATGTTACCTCTGATCAAGATTAAAGGTGACCTGGAACGATAAGCTATAGCACCCCAAACCATAACTCCAACAGTGTGATGAACATGTCTTTCAACAAAAAACTGTGGATTCCTCCTTTCACCACGTCGCCTTCTAACCCTGGCACGACCATCGTGCATGCCTAAACAAAATCGAGACTCGTCACTAAAGACAATACTGTTCCATTCCTGATCCCAGAGTGACCGTTGTCTGCACCACTCAAGGCGATTACGTCGGTGTTCTCGAGTTAAAGGGAGGACCCAGTGTGGCCGGTATGAAAACAAGCCAAAACTTCTCATTCGTCGGTAAACACTTCGCATGCCAATAGGTCTTCCGTGTTCTGCAAACCATTCATTTGCAATGGACCTGGTAGTGGAGAAACCGGTCCCTTAAGGCCATAATCTTAGGCGGCGATCTTCACGGTCTGTTGTTCTACGGCGGCGTTCAGTGCCCCTTGCTCTTTGCGTACGGCCTTCTCGAAGCCATGCCTGACCAACACCTAACCACAGTGTCTACACTTCTTTGCACTCTAACTGCAATTGCCCGAAAAGAAAGTCCAGCTTCCCGAAGTCCCACTATACGGCTCCTATCAAACTCACTAAGTTGACGAAATCGTACAGGTCTCCGTACTCTAGGCATCGTAACCGATCGTAAAGGATGTCAAGAACCAAAATCCGCCAACGTTGATTCTTTACTGCGGCTGAAATATTCATTTTTAGAGCGTTAGTGAAAAAAGCAGTATAAAAACCGGAATGTCCAACTGATAAGGCTGAAAATTTTTTTCACTTGTTATTTACAGTAAGATAAATACATTCACCAACTTTTATTAAAATAAAACCATTTAAACTGGGTGTTCGGATTTATATGTCACTTAGTATAGTTTTGATAATCAATATCCCCACTTCCGCTGAGAAGAATGCACAATTGCTTATAATGCATTCTCTTCAGTGCATGTGGTTTAGGATATTAATTGGTGCATGTAAAGCCCTACAGGCTGGCCACTCGTGACCCATTCCAATTTTTGAAGGCTTTCAGTTATTTGACTCTTGATGCGGATTGCGATTTGCATCGACATGAAAAAATTGGATGAGCATTTGCGTTTCTTGAGGAAAGTAGTAAAATAAGACGGCTTTCAAGTTGACTATGCAAGATATTGAGGAGGCTTCAAAAAGGCCGCCCTCTTTGAGATAAACATCATTGGTCTCAGGACTGACGAAGCAAATGAAGCATCACAATCTGAGACGCCTCAAGTAAAGAAACGTCGTCAGCACTTTTCAGAATATTGTATTGCAAAAACCAGTTCTATAAACAATTTGTTCAGTCATCTGCTTTGATGCTTATCTTAAACGCCTTTTGGTGTACATCTCGATTTTCCAAGAATAATAAAAATACTGTTTTTTCTTTCATTTAGCCCACCACCAAGAAACCCGTGCAGTCCGTCACCATGTGGACCGAATAGCCAGTGTCGCGAAATTAACGCCCAAGCGGTATGCTCCTGTCTACAGGGCTATATCGGTAGTCCACCAACTTGCCGACCAGAATGCGTTTCGAGCTCGGAATGTCCTCTGAACCAAGCCTGCTTGAACCAAAAATGCGTCGATCCTTGTCCAGGCACTTGCGGTATAAACGCCCGGTGTCAAGTCGTGAACCACAACCCAATTTGCTCTTGTCCCGAAAGGTTCACCGGTGATCCTTTCATAAGCTGTCGCGTAGTGATTGTCCAGGAACCTACACGGTTGCCGGAACCCAAAGACCCTTGCCTACCATCCCCATGCGGTCCCAACGCTCGATGTGAAACAACCCAAAGCGGTACCGCGAAATGCACTTGCTTGGAGAGCTACATCGGGTCACCTCCAAGCTGTAGACCTGAATGTGTCTCTAATAGTGATTGCTCGAAAGATCTGGCATGCGTTAACCTGAAATGCAAAGATCCCTGTCCTGGTTCCTGTGGATTGAATGCACGATGTCTTGTAGTTAATCACGTACCCAACTGTGTCTGTCTAGATAGTTTTGTTGGAGATCCTTTCACTATGTGTCATAGACCAAGTAAGACATTTTCATTTCTTTGTGTTAACCAATCTTCATTTTTTCGCTGACGCTATAAACAACAGATCAACTGTTGTTGAAAACGGCATTGTAGCTAGAGCTTTTTCAATACAACATGACGTGGTAGCAAAATTGTTACAACGTCGTTCGTATTTTGTTGTGCAATAAAAAATCTGTAGTTGAAATGACTGTTGTTTATATCGTTAGTGTTTTCAAGTACTTGTATATTGTTGTACAGCACTACTAACCATCATTCGCTTGTAAATGTCAGTATTAGTAGATAAGTTCGTAATAGGAAAAGCATGTGGTAGAGGGTTGTTGTAGCATGATTGTGTTGTTGAATGTTGACTTTGTTTATTTGTATTTATTTATTTATTGATTCTATTTGATTTTATTCATTTATACACGAAATACGCAATATGTTGAGAGAACTATACAAGGCTTTTCAGACTAAAATTGCAGTTTCATGAATGCATGTAGAATACAAGTTGCTAAATATGAAAAATGTTATGCGGGCTCCCCTACGGAGATACGGGATAATGACGCTACTGGAAACTGGTTTTTCATGACTAAGTTTTGATCGACACTGTGATTTAATGATATTTTAACAATATAGTAATCCAATTTTGAAAAAAATTGTATCTCCGTGGTTTTGAAAAAATCACTTAACTGATCATAAAGCCACAATCCTAGGGATACCAATAGATAAGGTACGAACATACTTCTGTTAGAGAAATTCAATCTATCAATTATAATGGCCTAAGAGAAGACCTAGTAATAAATATAATTAGACCCAATTACTATTCTGAAAATAATGTTACATTTTGGTTAGCCACTAAGTGACATATTAAGATCTTTAACTGATAAAATACAGCCACAAAAAAATTGCATAGGCGCGAGATCAAGCGAAAGCCTTGGATCACATCAGGTATTGTAAATTTTGATGAAAAAAATCCTCTATATTCTGAGTACTTGATGCAGCCAGAAAATGAGCAGGTGAGGATATCTTGAATATAAGAAAAAATGAGAAAAACTCATACGAAATGCTAAATACAATTTTTACAAGAAACAAATAAATAAAAACAAAGATACTCCTGAAAACTTGTGGAACGTATTAATAAACTTT